AATTAACTTCATTACCGCGGATTATTGGCGCAGCTGCGGGAGCCCCATCCCTGGGACACCCCCTAACGCGGCTCCCTGCCTACCGCCACCCCGGGTCAGCCAAAAATGGGTATTTTGTTCCCAAAGAACACGAGGCGCTGACGCTCCAAACGTAAAACGGTCAATGTAAGCAGGGAGGCTGCTCGAATGGAAAAAATGCTCTTAGTTTCAAGAGGTTTCTGTGCTACTTAATGTTTGTGTGGTTGCTCTGATGGTGGACGACACGGAGTTAGGGCGAGTTTGCAGCGTGAGTGAGCGGGAAGCGTTCCCGTTCCAGCAAAACCAGCCCCACGCGAGTGGTTCTCGGTCACGCCTTCACCTGCTCCACAAGAAAACCACTTCACCGAGTACGTTCTGTTTTAACGTAGCCCGGGGAACTCCAGGGCCACACAAGCCTTGGAATTTTATCAAAGCCCAGAACTGACCATCACTCATTCCAACCTATCGTCTTCCGCAGGAGAAAGTCATTAATAAGCAGTGGTGTACGTACCAGCAACCCAGCTTCAACATCGAGCTGAAAACTGCTCGGATTATTGATCGGGGAGATGCATTCACCTTCCAAGGCAGGCAGTGGTACAACAATTTAAGCTGCTCACAACGTGGGAGATGAAGCTGCACCGCGATCCCTTCGCTCACTTGGGAGCAGCAGGATCCTCCGCGCTGGTGCTGCGGCTCCTCGGTGTCACTCCAGCCCCGGCACCGTGTGCTTTCAACATCTACCCTTACTTGGGTTTATTGTAGAAACATTCTCCAACTTTTGCTTCATATTTGTTGAACGCAGCTATTAAATACTGAGCTGCTAAATATCTGATGCTTCATCTACATCACATTCTTTACAGGACACAAGTCCCTAAAAATACAATCTCCTCTAAATGCCTGATCTGTGAGCGACTCGGAAAAGGAGCTCTGGCAGTTCTGCTAACCAGTCTTCTAAGATGCAAAGCATTCCCACGCTTTGGTATTAGATGCAAATATGGCAAGAATGAATTGGACAGTCCTGCAGACTGCAACGGCTGACCATCGACACGCACAGAGCAGCCGGTTAGGCAAGCAGAATAAATTATTTTAATTCAATCGGAGTTGTGCGCCTGCATTATGTACGGCTCATCAAAAATCAAAATCCTTTTAACAAACCAAAGGGCCTGGGACACGTCTTCAACAACACATCCCTTTATGCCAGGAAGGGAACTGAGCACTAATAACTACTGACTCAACTTTAGTAACGTCCACACCAATGCCCCAGTAGCAACAGAAAAGCAGAAATATGTTCAGCAGCATCAAAACCATAATTGTAAGTAGCTTTATACTAGCATCTCTTTGCTGGGGAAAATCATCATTTGATTAAACTCATACTATTTTGTGCCAGTAAAGTCACTTCATGTCACAGTCTCCCCAGTCAGAGATATCGCTGCAGTCTTTTCTGATGTCATTTTTGTTTTTTTATTAAAAACACGTGTAGGTTTGCTTGAAACAAAAATTCAAAATGCAGATAGTAATACAGCTTTCCAGGGATTAAAAAAAAAAAAAAAAAAAAAAGACAGAGAGACTACCTAACGACTAAGGAGGAAAAAAAACCACTCAAAATTCCATGCAAGACAAGTAGAGGGGACAAAGAAAACCAACATCTCTTTCTGCCAGGCAGAAAAACCACACGCAGAGTAAGGCTCAGAATATCCAGGTGGAAACCAGCATCCATGTTTTATTGTTGTGTTTTATGATTCAATGGAGGGGGGAAAAAAGAAAACCACCAAAATACGAACAAAAAAAAATGCCAAAAACCCCCAGACCAGGTACAAAAGCATCAGTCCAGTGTGCATCTAGGTCAAACCGTCTGCAATCTGAAGCAACGGCAGATTTCCCCTGCGCACTGGTTTAATATAAAACCCTGGGGGCACAGGTCTGTGGTATTTTATTGTATGGAAGATCGTATGAAAAAGAAAAGGTAGATCAGTTTCCACCTTTATCTGTCTGGACGGGTCATTCCCGGCCTGGTTGGCACCATCATGGGTCTGGAGGGTGGTCTCATCATCGGGGGCCCCGGCATCATGGGCATGTGTCCTCCCATCGGCGGCCTCATCCCTGGCGCTACAAGGGGAAAGAGAGGACGTTTGAGAAGAGCCCTTGGGAGCAGCTGGAAGCTGTCCGAGGTGGATTACATTTTCCTGACGGATATTAGCAATTAGTAGAGGAAGAACCAAGTTTCTGGGTTATATGCCCACTTTTGACAAAAAGTGATTTGATTCACTGGTAAATCACTTCTTAAGGCTGGGTCGCAGCATTACGAAAGAAAAGCAGGCGCTCTGCTACAAAGCACTGAAATAAAGGTTTCCATCCAACTTCTCCCTTTATTTTCAGGCAGCCACTACACTGCTTAACGTCACAGATTATGCATGTACTTTGTGCCTTTAAAAAAACACTTATGGAACAGTTTCTACCAGCAAGATAATAACTGCAAAGACACTTTGCTGCTTTTAGTGTGCATGTGTGTATTCCCTTAGATTTGTTCCAGTAACTGCTTCACTAAGATGCCCTCTGAGAATTCTTCAAATGCCAGGAAGCTCAACAGCGGAATGGATCAAAGACATTTTAATTTGCCTTTACAGTTCTGAAAAAACTCCCACTTTTCAAGGCACATAGTTTCTCTGAAACACATTATTCAGACACTTTAAACAATAAAATTCGCTCAGTGCTGAAATGAAACCCTTTTCAAAAATGTAAGCCCTACAAACACAGAAGTTCTACACAATTAAAGATTGTGCCGCTGAGATTACACGTAGAAAAACTACGATTTACGAGAGCAATACTTTCAGTTGTAGAGAAGGACTAGTAACGCTCAACAAACAGTAAAGGAAATTTAATTAGCAGTTTTAAGACTGTTTTATCAGCAAACGTGTACGTGATACATGCAAGCTGGAATACTCCCACGGCTTGACACTTGGGGCTGTCCGTCCACACTGCGTCTAACACGCCGCACGAGCCACAGACTCGAGCGCGTCCCTACAACCAGCACTCACGTGCTGCAGCTGCCGCGCATTGTCTGTCCAGCTCCTTTCACAACTTTCAATCACTCGGTGAGACAGAAAATCTAACCCCAGCACCCCACAGCACCACGCGGTATCGCGGTTACAGAGATCTATTTCTTTCCAGACTTACCGGGTCCGACGGGCATCATTCCCGGAGGGGGTGGGCCCATCATCGGCATCATTGGCGGTCCGCCCATGTGAGGGGCCGGCATCATGCCAGGCCGCGGGGGGCCAGCTGAACGCGTAAGACAGATGGGTTACACGTCAAGCAGCTTTCACATTCGTCAACAACGCACGACGCAAGGTAGTTATTCAACTTTATAGGAGATTCTAGTAATAAAGGTGCCTTAGATTGTTTTACAACTTCCTGCTGTTGTTTTCAGTTCCAACTCTGACTTTGTGTGCCAAAAAGTGAACCGGAGGAAGAATACGCTGGCTACTCTTTCCAGCTTTGCATTCCTAACGCAGATGACTACTGCTTCCAACGGCACGACTCTAAGCAGAACGAGATCTCAGCTGTTTGCCAGCTGAAGTGCAAAAGGTTATCGATCCTATTCTATTTAAAAGCAAAACACCAAACGCCCTGCTGGAAGCCTGACTGAAGCTATCTTAGGGGCAGCTCGCAAGTAACGAGCGGGCACACATTTCTATTAATGCACTCAACATTACTAAACTAAGACAACCTAAAGATTACAAAGGTTGCTGAAACACTCCCATAAAGCATTCTCTTTCGTTTCGGTATTCACAAGCTCAAAGCTGATTTCAAGCTGAAAGGACTTTTCCTTACAAGTCCAGGAAACATGCAACGCAGCTCAAGCGGGCTGCCATCCCAGTTAAAAACTGTCCAGTTCAGACTTACGGATGCTGGGAGGAGGTGGGATCATGGCTCCCGCGGGAGGTGGTGCCGAGAACGGTGTAGGTGGAATTTTCCCTTGCTGAAATGCAGCCGCTACATTGGGGGGGAAAAGAAAAAAAAAAAAAGGAAAGAAAGAATCCCAGGAGAGAAACCAGTTACTAGGCTTAGGAAGCTCCTGCGTCATTCTTCCTTCTCATGCCACGCGGTCAGAGCATACTCCACGTCATGCTGCGTGCTCAGTTGTTCTAACTCTGGAACAAAATCCCTGGTTTATGCTGCTTGTCACGGCGGAAGCACCTGCTATTCTTAAAGACAATTATTACAGTAATTACTCCAGCTGAGACTAGAGAGCTCCTTGATGGATTTCACACACCTAACAGGAAGGCGGATGGTAGAGAAAACACATCACGTGGTTTGCAGCTGCAACCTTCACCTGGGATCATGAGGCAAAGACATGCTGTCCTGAAAATGGTAATAAGGTAATGACTTAGGGAGGTGGCAAAAAGCATGATAAACGTGTGAAAGGGAAGAGAAGAAATTCAAAAGACTGGAATCGACTAGAAGGCAGGCAAAAGACTTGAAAGTTGAAAACATCACGAGTAAAATGGACACAAGGAAATGGAATGAAGCTGTGTCAGGGGGAGTCCAGACTGGACATTATTTAAAGGCTCTTCACTGAGAGGGTGGTTGGTCACTGGAACCAGCTCCCCGGGGCAGAGGTCACTGCACCAAGTCTGCCAGCGTTCAAAGAGCATCTGGACAATGCTCTGAGTCCTACAGTTTAGCTTTAGGTAGTCCTGTGAGGAGCAGGGAGTCGGACTCAATGATCCTTACAGGTCGCTTCTAACCTGAACCTATGATTCTACGATCTAAAGAAAACTGCCATAAAGTTAATGTGGCATTTGTATTTCTTTTCACAGAGAAAACAACCCTTATTCACAGGACACGCGAGAGGAAAAGAACCCTATAACTGACAGGAGAAACACTTCACACTTTAATAGTGAGGAAAAAAACCCCACAACACTATATCCCTAGAGAACAGAGAGCAAGCAACTACAGCATTTTTAAAAATGCAAAAAACATCCCAATGTCCATTTTCGTGTCTTTTGGATTTCTTATTCATGCTCTTTACATAAATGTGTTACTACCAAAAAGCAAAAATGTGTTATGTGGCCTGGTGTGACACCACCAGCAGTGCTAAAGGCAGTGGGACCTCCAGCTCCCTCAGCCACAGTAAAGCAGTAAATGTCTGCTTGCAACAACCCCTCGGGCAGAGCCCTCAGCCCCTTACATGGAAGTCCATGCTCTAATGATTTCAAAATTCAGATTCTAAGTGAAGTTTTTGCTCATGATTCACAGAGCAAAGACTCAACAGGGAAGTGTGGAAGAACCAGCACTGAAGAATAGAAGAAAAGCAGCTAGAGGAAAGACAAGGGAATAACAGGAGAGCAATCCAGAATCACAGAAAGATTAGCCTTACTTGTTTTATCAATCAGGCTCTGAGCTTGCTCCTCCATCCATTTTTGATAGTAGTCTTTCACATTCTCTTTGTGTTTCCGGCCACTGCAGTGGGTTTTTCTCACGGAGGGCTGAGAAAGAGCACAGGAAAGCTGATACAACACTACAGAAACCCAAAGCTTACCAGGAACTGCTGTATAACACTAAACGCAGGCAATTTAGCCATATAAAACAAGGTAGCTTCTGTGCCTGGTCAGAGGACAGGTGATGTACAAAACCTTTATGCATAAACTACGAGTGCTGAGACTCCAGTTTAAATGAAGGAGGTTGCCCTAACACCCAGCCAGCTGTCTCCTACTAACTCACTGCCAGGCTTGGCTGCAGCCCTTGACGTGTGGATATTGGTGACAGCCGACGTTCTCGCTCTCTGTTTGCAAAGAAGAGGACAAGCAAACACTCCGTAACATCTCAGGCAACGTGGTTTGAGCCAACCCAAGTTTTATTTTAATACTCCTGGCGCAACAAAGAAATTAACTCAGCAGCTTTCGCACTTACCGAGTCATGGGTGAGGTACGTGTCACAGTAATCACAGTAGAACCTGAAAAAGGAAAACTCTTGTTATTAAGAAACCACTTGGCGCTGTTGGCGTTAAAACACGGCCCCTCAGAGCGGCCCCACGGCTCGGCCCGAGGCCTGAACAGGCAC